GTGGTTGTGTTTGTTGTTGTGGTTGTTGTTGTTGTTGTGGTTGTTGTTGTGGTTGTTGTTGTTGTTGTGGTTGTTGTGCTGGGTGTGTCCAGGGGGCCATCATCTCCAGCCTACTGGCCAACAGCAGCTACGTCATCCAGGTGGGGGCGGTCTGCACCAACGGTCTGAGAGGACGCTGGAGCGACCAGGTCATCGTGGACATGCCGTTAGAAGACCCAGGTACTGCAGTACACTCAGAGTACAAACACCAGGTACTGCACTACACTCAGAGTACAAACACCAGGTACTGCACTACACTCAGAGTACAAACACCACGTACTGCAGTACACTCAGATTACAAACACCAGGTACTGCAGGACACTCAGAGTACAAACACCAGATACTGCAGTACACTCAGATTACAAACACCAGGTACTGCACTACACTCAGAGTACAAACACCAGGTACTGCAGGACACTCAGAGTACAAACACCAGATACTGCAGTACACTCAGAGTACCCACATCCAGGTACTGCAGTACACTCAGATTACAAACACCAGGTACTGCAGTACACTCAGAGTACACACACCAGGTACTGCAGGACACTCAGAGTACAAACACCACGTACTGCAGTACACTCAGATTACAAACACCAGGTACTGCCGTACACTCAGAGTACAAACACCACGTACTGCAGTACACTCAGATTACAAACACCAGGTACTGCAGTACACTCAGAGTACACACACCAGGTACTGCAGGACACTCAGAGTACAAACACCAGATACTGCAGTACACTCAGATTACAAACACCAGGTACTGCCGTACACTCAGAGTACAAACCCCAGGTACTGCAGTACTGTGTCCTCCACCACAGACACTCGTAAATGGAACATAATGAAACTGATAACAGAGGTCAAAGGTCAGACATTAACCCTTCGTCTCCTGCTCTGTCCCTGATCAGTTTGTTTTCTTTTTCATGTTCATAGAAAGTGAGTGGGGGTCTGAGACGGACGTGGACGAGGACTCTGAGGTGGGACAGACCACAGCGTAGACTTTCACAGTCTGTTCTTTCTGAATGTCTGTACTCAGCTGCAATGCCTTTTCCTGATGGTAGGTGTCACCTGAGGTCAAACGGTGGACGACTGACGACCAGAATCCAGCACACCACCGCCCTCTAGAGGAGATCCCGGTGGAGCAGACCAAAGTTCACCAGAACACGCCAACAAGTCCACAGAATCCGCCCGTCAATCAAAGTCCGACGCAGCAGAACCCCAGGACGGCACCAAAGAGCCCCCCCGGTTCTGCCGTCCTGCAAAAAACCCGGGTCGGTCCGAGTGGTCAGAAAAAGTCGGTCAAGTCCAAGTCCACTCTGGACGAGATGACCCAGAACTGGATCGATGAGGTCAGAAGAAGTCCAGGTCGAAGGCCTTCATCTCACCCCAGAGTGGACACCAACGGCGCCATCTGGCTGTCTGAGGCACCGGAACAACCGGGCTTCCTGTTTCCACTTCCTGTCACCACCACAGGGGCAGCGGTCCAACATCAAAGGACAGAGGAGTCCCTGCTGTCCATACAGGTACGGCCCAGCTGCTCTGACCTGCTGGGTCTGTGCTGGGTCTGTGCTGGGTCTGTGCTGGGTCTTGCTGGGTCTGGGTCTGTGCTGGGTCTGTGCTGGGTCTGTGCTGGGTCTGTGCTGGGTCTGTGCTGGGTCTGTGGTCCCAGTTGACAGGCTGGTCAAAGTGTCCTCTCTTCTCCTCAGACAGACGTCCACACTCCTTCGTTGGAGGACGTTCACGTCACAGACATCTTCTATGAAGACACAGTCGTCAACTTTCCTCTGGGAACGACCCCCCCTCTGGGAACGACCCCCCCTCTGGGAGCGACCCCCGCTCTGGGAACGACCCCCCCTCTGGGAACGACCCCCCCTCCAGCCACACCCTCCTCTGCTGGGGTCGCAGCAGGTCAGACCTTTAGCAGCAGATCTGTGTCTTGTGAGTTGCAATGCTGCCACCTGCTGGACTGCTTTTACAGTGGTAGACAATGTTTGATCAAAGAGTGAGAGGGTCCAAACCTGAGGTTCACGGACACATCTGTGTATTTTTATACTCTTGTTGGCCACATGATGGCGCTCCATCCTACTGTCTATCATGGGGTGTTTTGACAGCTGTATATTTGTAACACAGGTAGAGACATGGAGCACATCTCTGTGCCCCCCCCTGACCCCGGGACAGAGGACCCCGTCAGGGTCAGCTCCCCTCCAACCAGCAGCAGCCTCACCCCTCCCCCCCCCCCCAGGGGGGTGATGCCACCGC